AATAAAAAAGTTTTCGAAACCTTAGACAAATGTCTAATATTTCATCAAATTTTAAATCTGAATGTTATTTGTCTAATGTTTTTCATAGAGTGGAGTCCTTTAATTAAGTTAAATAATTAAAATTGTAATAGTCGAAAATTTCCAGATAGTAACATCAAAAATTTTAATCGTAATTCATGGAAATTTTGAGAGACATCAAATTGTTTTACATCTAAAATTGATATTTTATTTCACTTTTAATATTTATAATGTTAATTCAATCGATCGATTCGAATACTAAAATAAAAATGGAATAAGTACTACCGCAAAATTGATATATTTAATTCATTTAAATAGTAACTAATAATTAAAATTCACCGTCAATTAAATATTTTCGCTGCATTCCAGGCATATTTTTCCTAAAGAAATCCTTAAAAAATGTGGGAAAATGGTAATTATTCTTAACTTTCACATGACTTTTAAAGCTCTTAGCAAGTATTTTTAGGTGCCTAAATAACTAGTTTTATAAGTGGTTATGCCTTACTGATATTTAAATCATAGCTCAGTGAGTTTTGGAAAAGGAAGAAATTTCAAATTTTAATTTGTGATCGATTAAAAATTATCCAAATTCCATGTTTAATCTAAATGAAGGCTCGGAAATTGCCATTGTCTTAAAGACAATAGCTTTCACAATTTTAGCCTATTATGAGCACTCATACAACTAAACAATTCGCACTGCATATGTGACCTTTTGGTTTGCAAAACTACGGCTTCCATTCTGTATTTCAGATAAAAAATATTTTCTTCTCGCTGATATATGATCGGGCTCTCTGAATTTCTCTTAGGTGAAGGGCAAGTGACAGCTGAGATAAAATTTTTATATCTTTACCTTGTATTAGTTACTAAAATCCTAAATCGCGTTAAAGTATTTTTAGGGTTCAATAGATTGTAAAGAAAAATGCCCTTTATATATTACATTAAATAGTTTGCCATTTATTCTTGAATAAGCGAAAATTTTAATTTTATGGTAATCTTATTGATTTATTTAATAGTTGAGTATTGCAATGACGTAAAGATGTCTTTGATTAAATTATTCCGTTACCAAGTATTTTAGACGCTTACACGCACCGTCGTCTTTATGGAAAAGAAATCAAATTTCTCGAATCATTAATACCTCATCCAATCCGTTTGCATATAAAATAGAAATCAAAAACTGAAGATATAATTGAATAAATGGGATGCATGAAAGGAATGCATTTTAGGATTATTGACATGAATATTTCGTCTATTTCTATTTTAAGTTGATTCTTGAGCAACGGCTTGTAAAATTACAACTACTCTATATAATGCTTATTTTTAATTCAATTAATTTACACAAATCTTTTGCTCTTTTACTTCCGTTAAACTCATAAATTTTGTTAAAATAATTTGTGGTATAATATGCCTGAATCGTTGCTTTCTTCCCTAACCAATACCGTAGAGTATCCTATTTGGAAGATTAACATGACAAGCCAATAAAATTTGATTTCAAGACGATAGTATGCTTTTGGTTTGAATTTTCTATAATCGATACATAGAGGCATACCGTGATAAAAATTCAAATAACAGAGAGCAGATATATACTACTGTTAACAGCATTTTACCAAATAGAATTTCATAAAGTAAATTTTGAAAATATTTTAGGAAATTGAATTGAATAAAATCTTTAGTTTTTGAGAGAGCAAGAAAGAACAGTATGTTTATTAACTATTAAAGTGCAAAATTGTTTGAAAATTGGCTTCAAAGAGTTTAATATTTGTTTTCCCAATAAGGAAGTAGAGGTTCAAAAAATTGAAAAGGCTATAAAATATTTTATTTGAATTAAATAATGTACAGCTTTAGGGAAAACTGCGAAGTCATAATTTGACTTTCCGTTATATATATATTAAAAATTCGAAAAGTTCAGTAGACTTACTTCCACGCGGTGCACTTTATCAAACGCATACTCATACGGCAAAAAGTCTATTAACCGGCAGTTGACTTCTGACTTCAAACCAACATGACCCGACTGTTTGTCATATTCCACATCTTGCACAGTCCTCAGCTTACCCTTTCTCTGCCTTTACGTCGATTTTTCTCTTTACATCTGTGAAGCACTCTTTCCCCTCCTCTCAAATTTTTTTCACTATGATGTTTCTCCCTCTATGAAGTCCGAAGTCAGCTAAAGGGCTAATGATAACTAACAAAACGTCTGCCATTTGATATAAAAAAAATATTTAAAACGTAATTGTGAACTTGAAGCTTTCGTGATGCACACTTTATACAATCAACTATGCTGTACATATTGCATATATATGGGCATATCATTACTATAAAAATTATAAGATAAACCAAAATAAACAAAATGCGAATTTAATGGTAAAATTAAATCTTGAAATATTAACTTTATAGTTTTTTGTCAAATATTTGGCAATGCTTGTTTGAGAATTCCGAAAATACTTGAAAACTCAATGCGTTAAAGTACTATAAATATAAGTTCCTACTACTTTGAATTTAAAGACACTAAAATGAATAAAATGTACATATGAGCTTTCAAAGAGATTTGACAAAATGTTATTTTTGTAATAAAGTTGTTTTAAATCTCCCAATTATTGCCTAAATTATTTAATTTAATTTTAAAATATGTTGGTTAACGTTGGGTAGTATATTGATCATCCCACTTGTGATAATTATTCTTGAACACTATTTAAAAATTGTTATTTTTCTCTTTTGATCTGCAAAATACAAGAATAGAACGCAGCATTACGTGGAACATTTTGAAAGTATTTGTTATTAAAGGCATATTTAATACGTAAATTAACAGTTTTACTGATTAAATAAATGTGCAATGAAAGATTATGACTACGCGTTAAATTCAAAAATCGGAATAAATGTAAAAATGAAAATTTTTCCACTCACATTATTCCACGTGGAATCATTTTAAACATCAGGTCTTTGGTCATCTAATGACCTGTTGCTCGTAATTAAATAATAAATGATCAATTTATAATGGCTATTATTTAAAAGCCACCTTTCAAACAGCTTGTAACATTCCATTTTTTTATATAAGATAAAATCATATGAATGTGTAAGTGAAATATATCAATGGGACCTATCAACTCTAAATAGTTAAGACGTCATTTCGGAAAGCGTCACCGAAGGATTTGTTTAAGTGTAACTAATGCAACTTTATTAGCTTTCTCTTTTCCACCTTGGAACGCATTGAGTTTCATATAATTTAAAATATTGAATTATATTATTTTGCAAATGTGAATTTTTAACGGGAATATTAGATTATGGGAGGTAAAAATAAGCTAAAAATATGCCTGATTAAAGTTTTGGATTGTTAATTTATGTAACCCATTATACTGTAATATATTATTGTGGTAAATATGCAAATGAAATACATCTTCCTTTAAGTGCTTTGTTGTGATGGTAAATGTATTACCCTGAAAACCATTTAAGTCGAAGTAATATTAAGCTGCATATTTCACTCAAAATATTTCAAAGGTAATTTAAAGTTTCATGCTATTTTGAAGGAAAAAAAATATTATTAAATAATACGAATCACCTTAGCGCAATTGAATATCATCTCAAGGACATGTGTTTTTCCCCCCAATCTGACAACCAAATTGTCTCAAGCCTTTCAGTGGTGTCAATAATATTCTCAATATTAATATCGGGGGAAGAAATATTGAATTTGTAAGTTTTCCTTTAATAAACGATAGTTTGCAATACCATTTATGTGCATTTACAAGTCTTACTGTGGTCTATGAATGAAAGGAGAGGTTCACAACATTGGGTCTGATCAGTTCACTGCAACAACTTGAAGAGGCATTGCAACACAATAAATATTTTAATAAAACATAAATTAAAACGTTGAGCTAAGTAATTTTCGAAGATAAAGCGCTGATACTAATTTAGAATAATTTTAACTGAGTTCAAGTTTGGAAATAGTATCCTATGCTCTATTTCAGTCATCTGACATTTAAAAATAAAAGAATTAATTTATTAAATCTGCATAAAACCTGGTCCCTCTTGCGAAATATTATTTCCTAAGAGCGGAATATATTAAATTAGCTTAGCAAATCCCCGAATTTTATATTTGGCATATAATAGCCTCAAGTGGAAACGCAAAAACACAGGCGAGAATTCGTTGCGATAAACTAAACGAAATCATAAAAGCTAATTTTGTTGAAAACGAGATATATAGTACATAATAAAAGGATTTCTATGTCGTTTGAAAATAAATTTGCAAACTGTTTTCTTAATGCACGCATCTGGCATCAAATTCAAACATTTTAATTTTCCAGTATTCTCCATATTTCAAATCATGTCTTTATCACCAAAATTCTTGGCCTAGTTTGTCTTCAGTTTAGTTACGTTAGATGATATTGATAGCTAATTTTCAAGTATAGTGACAACTCTATGTCATTGGAAATTTAAAGGCAGGAACTAAATAGTTTGTTATAATTTGCGATGTAAAGAGCAAATTCTGTATTTCATATAAAATGCAACTGATTTGAATTTTATCATAGGCATTTAAAACTAAGTTATTCAGAGTTTTCAAAACTGTTCAATATTTCCTTTTCAAGAGCTTCATTAGTAAATTACTCGAATATTTAAGACATCGTCTTCGTAAATTTAGAAATAAATTAATACTGACAATTGTAATGTGATGTTTATGGTGCACAAAAGAAAATAATAAATTAATGAAATTGATTGTAAAAAGAAAATTAAATGAAACTCAATTATACTTTTAATTACCTTTAATAAATAAGATATTATATAACTTTTTCAAATATTGTTAAAACTTTTTAAGGTTTAATATAGATTAATATAGATGATTACAAATATGTTTTGAAGTTTAATCAATTTAAATTAAAATTAATTCACTTGCGAATATATTAATATATTTGTTAGCAAATACTTCATTTTAAAATACCGTTATCATCGAGGGAATCATGTGTGTTCGATCTGATTTACTTCCGGAATTTTTTCCATTATCCCGCTTTCCCTTGTAACGCCTTGTCCAACGGCGGGTCACAAGATATCGATAGTCTCTGAATTTCCAAAGAATTTGTGGTATTTTCTCTCCCCGGATAGGCTGTGGTCAGGTCTTCACTTCTTTCACCATATCGGGTTTGGTTGTACAATCTGGGTCTGTTTTGTTTCACACTTTCACCGCAACATTTCCGTCCTAAAATAGTTTTGCATGTGGTGCGAAATTTGACGGAAAACAAGGAGTAAAAGACAAAATTCAGAGTTGCGTTAATAAATAGCAAAACATTAGAGATGTTGGAAACAACCACAAGAATGGAAAAAAAGTTTTCATCTGCTTTCTGTTCCTCGGTGAGGATATGGATGGCAATTGAAATGACTGTACTTGGTGTTTGAAGAATTAAAAATGCTACTACAATAGAAATTAACATAACAGTAATCCTCTGTTGTTCACTGAATATTGCTTTTCTGGTACTATTGTTTCGAATTTGGGCCACAGCTACAGTTGCGGTTAGACAGCTTTTAGCAATTTCCAAACCTTTTGAGGCATATTGAGCTTTAGGATGACGATCCAATTTCTGTTTCGACATTCCTTGACGAGTTCTCTTTGCTTCTAGGCCTTTTTGAATAAGGAGACTATTGAATACAGCCAGTAAAATGAATGGTAAAATAACGAATGCTAGTTGATTTATATACACATATCCTATATTCCTCAGTACCGGTGCGTAATCCGAATCTGTTTGCTCATATCTGCCTCCAGGTATTAATGTACCATTAGAATCAAGTGGTGGCTTAATTCTGGATTGAAGGAAGTCTGGAAATGTGAGAATGAAGGCTATTATGCAAACTCCCAATACAATTCGTTTGGCCTTTCCTCTAGTGCACACCCGATGACCGAATATGGGATAGGAGATGTTTATGAATCTTTCAATAGTGAAACTCAGTGTGAGCCATGTAGTAATATTGCTGAATAGATTGGCTATTCCTCGAAATGTTGGCAAGGCGTACATATATATAGCTGATGTATTAAATGCTGGATAGACATATAGAGTAAAAAGTAGGGAAAAGAAAAGATACATCATATCGGATACTGAAACTGCGGTGAGGTACACATTTGTCGACGATTTCATCCATGATCGAGTAAGAACAATAATGTTAATGATGTTGACAACAATTCCAATAGTACAAATTATAGGGGTAAGAATTTTGGCAAATATTAAGCGAGCATAATATGTGCGAATCTTGTATATACCATCCATTTCTTTTGAAGCTGTGCAAACAGAGAAATGAATGTTGTTTTTTGCTGGAGGCAGCATTGGATTGGTTAGATTAAATGACCTATCAGATGCAAACGTATATTAATTTAAGCTTTTATTGGCTCAAATAGGTTGGTAGAAAGTTTAATAACTGTCGAATTTATTTAAAGGAAATTAAACACAAACTTTGTAATAATTTCATTTTGATTTACTAATGACAAAATATGTTGCCATATGCAAAATAAAAGAACGCAATATTCATTTCGATGTCAAGATATACAGAGAATCGCCAGGTATAAAGAAGCATCAAATATGTTGACAAATTTATCTTATCTGTTTTAATTTGAATAACTTCGTTGCTTTAAAAAGACCAACTTCGCGTTTTAACACGTTATTACAGTTTGAAAGTCTATGTCCGTTGTTTTATTGATTGTGATATAGGTATCTCATAAAAATATTTAAGATACATTTGAATTTCAGCTAAGTCGGGCTCCGAGATGTTCATTGTAAATGTAAATATCTGGCAAATTAAAGTGGTACAAGATTGTTTTCTAAATTAAATGAGTGTTAGTTGTTCTTAGCTAATATTATAAAATTTTATTTAGATTAGAAAGAAATTAGCCGATGGATAAATCATGATTGCAGATAGCCAACTGGTTGAAACTATTCTAAAAGATGAACGATCATCTACTAGTCACATAAAATCAATTAATATTGCTTCTTTTTGGTCAAGTCGACGAACATTAATGGGATATTTTGTCGCATTATGGATATATCGAAAATAATGTCTTTTTATTTTATCCCGAAAAAATGATATTGATAAGCAATTAATAGCAATAATAACAAATATCCTGAATATCAAAAATCCTTGAAGCGCAAACTTTTTTAGTAGAAGGTTATTTAAAATTGCATTTAATATCCAACTCAATTCTTTATAAATTGTGTTGTTTGATGGTAATTTCAAAATTGTAACAATACTTTTAACTATAGATGTATATTTAGAATGTTTATAACAGTTACATTTTGCCAATTGCGAGAGGCATTACATTTTGCAAACGTTTTGTTCAAATTGTTAGTGGTAGAAGATCATTACCAATGTTAACAAATTGATGACCATATATTGCCCATGGGGAAATAGACAAACGGTGAGGGGAAAAGCTTATGACGATATATTGCCCTTTGTTTTATCGATATATCAATGGTAAGTACTTAATGTAATGTTGTAATAATTCTTGGAAATCAAGTTTGTACTTCTGTTAATGTTTGGTCTGCTCCTTAAGGAATTACATACTGAGTTAACAGAATATATTCACTATTGATATTCTACTACATTTAGAAATTTCAAATTATCGTATTGACCCTGATTTAACAAGTACTTGTTTATTAAAGTTGCTTACAATGGATTGCACTTATGCACTTATGATCTTTTTTTCAAAAGTTATTAAAATAGAATATAAACGCCCACTTGAGAAATGAATAATGATTTCCTAGCGCTTGGTTTGAGGCTAACAATTTTATGATAATTGGAAATGCCCATCTGCCGAGGTAGGGAAGTTTCATTAAAATGAATGCAGTACTAGGTTCTTGCCTTCAATGACGTAGAACTTGCAAGAAGGTTTCGAAGTTGCAGAAAAGCGAATGAAAGAGAATATTCCGATTTCAAAGCTAAAGGCACCTTTGTTGCTCCCCATAATCTCGATTGCCCAAAATTCATATTTCAAATTGTCTTCGAAACCACAACCAGATCAATGCCAATTTCACAAATCTTTCTATTTTGCAATACAGCATTGCAGAAGCTTAAAATGAAACGCATTTCGTAATTAACAACAAAGTGAGGGCTTTTGCTTCATAGAGTAAATTGTCCTTTTAATTGCCGATTAATTTTGAACTGCTTAACGGAGTGTCTTCCTTTTATCCAAAGAAAGGATGCATCGCTGTTTTATCTCCTTACTAGCTCATTATAGAACCTCGTTCTAATAAAGGAAAATAAAACAAATTTAGCTTGCATATTCCTTGCAATTTCCTGGTTTGCCTAAATTTTAAGTTGCAATTAGTCAGCTCGTTTCCGTGGCATGAATTTTAAATAGGGTTATAAACTTAAATAATAAATTAATAAGAAGTTAGAATGTGATATTTCGTTAAGTGTGCAGAATAACTTCTTTGACAGAAACCTACAGATGACTGTTTATTTCAAAGATGCCCGTTGATTCAAGCTTAAATATGCTAATCCATCACCTTGTTTGAACTCTGTTGTGCCTCCATTTTTTGAGTCAGAAAACTTACTCAATCGCAATCATTGTTCAATGTTGAAGAAAGCTTTCCTGGGACTTAAAAATGAAAGCAGAGCCTTGTGGGTTTTAAGAAGATTTTAAGCTAAATTCTGCGACTTCCTTCCCAATTGTTCTCAATGTAGTTGACTGCTCTACTCAGAATACCATAGGAATATTACGGCGCCTTCAATGAATCATATGAAACAAGATTGAGAACAAGGTTGCAACGGTTTCTATGAAGATGGACATTGGTAATTCTAGATTATAATGAGTCAGAAAAAAAGATATATCAGCTTCACAAATTCTATCAGACAGCAGACTAGTCCCAAGTAAATAGTCAACAAGCTTGATGCAAGCGAGGCAAAAAATTGTAAACGAGAATGAACTGAAAGGATGGGCTTCGGTTGGCTAGGAATCAAATAACGACCTATCGAATGAAATAAAAATCAAAATATTTTATGAATATTCAAAAGATCTTAAGAATCGCATTTGCTAATGAAAACAAAAATTGAATATGTGCTTGATCAAGAATTCATTTTCTTCCTTGGGGTTCCTCTGCGTTGAAAATACGATGATTTCACCTTGTTGAGCAGTTGTACCATACGGCTAATTGATCATTCAATCCATTATGATCCATTTGATAGTATCATGACATATTTCCCCCCCCCCCCTTCAGAAGTCTCCGGGGACGAACATTTAGAAACTAGTTGCGAATTGACTCCCAGCACTGCCGGATCAAGTTTCACCATGGCCTTAAAAAATTCCACTAGATGGCCGAGTCCGCATTTAATTGAATATTCTATTTAAGTGAATTCCTATTTTTAATCAATAAATCTGCACACCTCTGTATATTGCAAGCTTTATAGTTATATTTGTATTTATTTATTTCAAATGGCAGGCGTTTTGATAGTTATCATTAGTATTTTAACTGACTTAAGACTTTACAGAGGGGAGGAGCATCATAGTGAGAAAAATTCTAGAGGGGAGGGGGAAAGAAGAGTGATTCACAGATGTAAAGAGACAAATTGACGTAAAGGCAGAGAAAAGGTAAGATGAGCACTGTAGAAGTGGTGGAATATGACATACAGTGGGTCATGGTAGGTTGTAGTCAGAAGTCAACTGACGAATAATATACTTTTTGCCGTGCGAGTACACGCTGCCCAGGGTGCACCACGTGGAGGTAAATATATTAAGCATAAAGTTATATTTTAATCCGATAACGGTGAAA